CAGAAAAGTGTTCAAATAACAGCTGAACTAGTAGTTATGGAAGACTTCAAAATGAAATATATTATCCTAGGTAATGATTACATCATTAATTACGGAATAGATGTCATCAACAGTAATGGTAGATATTTCAATATTGGAGGAGACGTACATACTAAGTATGAAATAGGTATTAGTGACAAATTGAACCTGGAACAATTAGAATGTAATGCCCTAGACAATAACAAATTTTCTGAAACTATTAGTGAAGCAAAAATCAACCCTGATTTGGACAAAACACAGAAAGAACAACTTGTTAAATTACTACATAAAAAGAAACTAGCTTTTGCTACAGCAGATGAACCATTTGGATGTATTAAAGGACATGAAGTACAAATTTCATTAAATACCTCAAGACCTTACCCTCCTTTACTTAAGAAAGCAGCCTATCCAGCTTCCCCCAGGAGTAGAGAAGCCTTACAGCAACACGTGACAGAACTAGTAAAAATGGGAGTATTAAGGAAAGTTGGGCCTAATGAAAATGTTGAAATTACCACACCTGTTATTATTGCCTGGCATAATGGCAAATCACGTATGGTAGGAGACTTCAGAGCCCTTAATAATTATACAATACCAGACAGGTACCCCATGCCCAAAATTGCAGAAGCCATTACACAATTACAAAATGCTAAATATATTACATGCATGGATGTACTCAAAGGTTTTCATCAGAATGTAATTCACAAGGACAGTAGACACTTGATGAGAATCATATTACACATGGGAATTTATGAATATCAGAGAATGCCTTTTGGAATTAAAAATGCACCTTCTCATTTCCAAAGGATGATGGATGTTGAATTTCATAAAGAACTTAGAGAAGGATGGCTTATCATTTACATTGATGATATTATAATATTCAGCAAAGACTGGAATGAACATTTAGAAAAATTAGCCATTGTATTAGACAGAGTCATTAATATGAATATGAAAATATCCATGAACAAATGCCAGTTTGGATTTGCAGAACTGAAAGCCTTAGGACATATAGTTTCAGGACTTAGTATAGCTATTGATAAAAATAAAGTAGCAGCTGTGTTACTCAAACCTATGCCCAGTAACGTGAAAGAACTACAATCTTTTCTTGGCTTTGCTGGATATTACAGACAACATATTAAAGATTTTGCCAAAGTTAGTGGAAGTCTTTATAAAATTACCAGTCCCAATACTGCATTTGAAATGACAACTGAAAGAGTAGAAGCATATCAGAAACTGAGAGACTTACTTACCTCTGCACCAATTCTTTTTATGCCTGATCCATCAAGAAGTTTCAAACTGTATGTAGATGCTAGTATGGAAGGACTAGGAGCAGCATTACACCAAATACAAGAACCAGATGGAATTCCCAAAGAAGGAGTAATATGTTATATATCCAGAACCCTTAAAGACAGTGAGAAAAAGTATGGTGCTAGCCAACTGGAATGCCTTTGTCTTGTCTGGGCTTTAGATAAATTGTATTACTACTTAGATGGTTGTACATTTGAAGTTATTACAGATTGTAATGCTCTGAAAAGCCTTCTGAACATGAAAACACCCAACAGACACATGTTACGTTGGCAAATAGCCATACAAGAATGGAGAAATAGTATGACAATTTCCCACAGAGCTGGAAATATTCATAAAAATGCTGATGGACTGAGTAGATGGTCCCTTGAAAACAATGAGTTGAACCCAGCTTGGGATGGGGAAATTGCCGCCAAAATTATGTCTCTATTCCCAATGGAAAATTCTGTAGACAACTATGGATTTGATGATAATAAAGATGTCATTGGTGTCAATGGATTACATATAACAGAAATGGAAGAAGAATTCTGGGATGAAGTTAGAAAAAGTTATGCTTCTAATAAAAACTTATCCACTATAGTAGAAATTCTTCAAAGTAAATTCAGACCAAATGAGTTGATTAACTCATTAGAGGAACCCTGGCTAACATCATTTAAAGAAGATAGATTTGCATTATATGATGGATTAATTTACCATAGAACCAAACATACCAGTGTTGTTACCATATGCTCACCTGAACACATTAACTTATTCCTGAAAGAATGTCATGATAATATTACATCAGCACACTTCTCTTATGACAGGACTATAGAAAGAATTAAGAATGTAGCATGGTGGCCCAACTTTAAAAATGACACTAAGAAATATTGTGAATCATGTGAAAGATGCCAGAAAGCCAATAAGGCAACAGGAAAAAGATATGGACTACTACAGGAAATTGAAGAACCCAAAGAAAGATGGTGTGTAATTAATATGGACTTTGTTACTGGATTACCACCTGGAGGACCCAATAACTTCAATGCTGTACTTGTAGTAGTAGATAGATTCTCTAAGAGAGCAAGATTTCTCCCTTGTCATAAAGAAGACACTGCCATGGACACAGCCTTACTATTCTGGAACTCTATCATTTATGATGTAGGTTGTCCTAGATATATTATTACAGACAGAGACCCTAAATTTACATCTGAATTCTGGAGAAACTTATATGACCTGTGTGGTACACAATTAAAATTTTCCACTGCTTACCACCCACAAACTGATGGCCTAGCTGAAAGAATGATACAAACTCTAGAAGACATGATCAGGAGATACTGTGCTTTTGGATTGCACTTTAAAGATAAAGACAGTTACACTCATGACTGGGTTTCCCTTCTTCCTGCTCTAGAGTTTGCATATAATTCTAGCAAACATAGTACCACCAATAAGACTCCATTTGAACTGGAAAGAGGATGGACACCCTGGTTCCCAAGAGATGTACTATTGAATAAAGCTGTACACATTCATCCCAGTGCCACAGATTTCCATTTCATGATGACTAAAGCAGAGAAATATGCCTCTGAATGTGTTAAACAAGCTGTAGATTATAATAAATCTAGATGGGATAAAACTCATAAAACCCACAAATTCCAAATTGGTGACCAAGTGTTAGTATCCACACTAAATTTTACCAACTTATCTGGACCAAAGAAATTACGTGATTCTTACGTAGGACCTTTTACAATTAAACAATTACACGGGAAAAATGCTGTAGAAGTTATTCTCACAGGAGAATTTGATAAGAAACACCCTACTTTTCCTGTTAGTTTAATTAAACCTTATGTAATAAATGACAATGAGAAATTTCCTTTAAGGAAAGATAATGTGAGAGTAGTAATTCCTCCATTAGAAGAAGAAATAGTGAAAATTAAGAAAATTTTACAACATAGGAAAATTAGACAAAATAATACTGACATTAAACAATATCTGGTTAGATATAGTGGTAGTAAAGAAGATGAATGGCTACCTGTAGACAAGATACCTGACTCAGATAAACTCCTCAGACAATACAGAGTAGACAAGAGAAAATGACTTGAGGATCATTTCCTTTTTTAGGGGGAGGAAGTGTCAGCCACAGAGCACATTTCACAGTACGTGAAATGTACCTAGTAACTGCAATAATAATAATTAATTGAATACTGGAAAATAGTATACATTGTTGTTAGAATAATAAATAAATAAATATGTATTTACATTTAATCTTAATTCATAATTTATATTTAATAATTCTATAATTAACTGTGAAATCCCCTTGAGTATTGTACATATAATATCACTAGGATTTCACAGAAATATCATTAGAATAAAGTATTAAAACAATGTTTATTCTTATACATTATGTACATATTTTATAAGCCATAAATAATTACATATGTATAAAGAATCAGCTAGTAGAAGCGTGAAATGGATGAGGAATAAGCTATATACATTTATCTGAAGCTTACCCATCCTTGATCACATCATCAGGGCATCAGATTGCATCATAACCCTCTTGGATGGCGTCATCAGGACCCTTTTGTGCTCTAATTCAAAGCTTGCATAATTCAAAGCAGCCTACACGGGAAAGGAGCCCAAATTCTACATGCAAGACTGAATTATGCATGAAGGACATGCATTTCTCATGATCACAAGCTTGCATAAGCAGAGTTACACGTATGCAAACAACTCTACAATTGCACAGCCCCTGCACAGTAAATGTAGCCCTTTAAATTACGTGAGAAATAGGCCACAAAACTCAATTATGCATGTATGATCTCATGTCCTAGGACCTTCCACCCATGCATAGCACTGCACAGCTACAGCTCCCATCCTTACACGAAACTGTAGAGCTGCTAAGAAGCTCCCTAGTGCCCTGAGGGCCTCTCCTCTTCCCCTGAGCCTCCTGTAGAATATTTAAGGAGCCCTGATTCCTACCTTTTCCCCCCAGGAAATTCTAGTAGCATCAAACCAACACTTGTACCGTGTTTATTAGTGATTCAACCCACCAATAACATTACAAACCTGCTACCTTAGACCTAAATAGATTTACTTTGCTCAGATTCAAGGCATTTCTACTTATCTCTATTGCATAAAGAATTATCCCCCAGGTTAAACAATTCTGGTCCTTAAGTGTTGATACACTTATTAATCTAGATTGTTGTTAAAAGACTAATCCCAAGTGAGTTGAAGAAGTCCTCATCTTGGAAGCCTATTAATCCATACAAGAGGATTGATCTGGATGCCCAATTAAATAATTGGATGAGTCAGCAGTAGAAGTACCATTCCTCACTGACTCCTCCCTGTTTCTTTTACAGGTTGAGGGATTTAACCACGAATAAACCTTCCCACTTACCATACTTGTTAACACTCAGAGCACAACCCTTACAGGTTAGTAGCATAGAGGCTGACATTTTGAGTCTTACACCGGACAGATCATCCTGAGCTACAAGCAAGTACTTGAACTTCCCCGCTTTGATGTGGCAAATGTCCACCGGGACCCGACTAAACAAGGTATCCTCTCCAGTCGGAATGCCGATCTCCTTTTGCAGATAGGTACTCCGCTGCTGGCACTCCTCACAACTCCGCACCCAATCCTTCACCGCTTGCCCCAGGCCTGGCCACCAGCACCGATTCTGCACTCATTTTCTGGTTTCCGCTTCTCCACTATGGCCCAATTCTTCATGGAGGCTCCTCAAAATCCTCTCCTGATCGGCCCGAGTGGTGGCCACAACAAGCGGAATTGGCAGACTCCGCCTCCACAGCTGACCACCCTGCAAGAAGAAGTTCGAACTCTTCCTTCGCACCCATCGTTTTACCAGGTCCGTAGTTCCCTCCGGGTACGCCAAGTGCGTCAGAAAATGCACCATCACCGCGTATCTGCCCAACTGGACCAGGGGAAGACCCTCCGTGTTGACTCCTGCCGCCCGCACCTCAATCAACCTCCTCTCCACGTCCAGCTCCTCCGCATCTGTGAGCCTATCTTCTCCCTCATTCAGAGGGATACGGCTCAAGTCGTCGGGCATCGTAAAGGCTTTCCCCGGAACGTGGACCACTTGGAAGGAAAAGAGCTGAAGGTACGCCAACCATCTAGTCATCGGAGCGTTAGGGAGAGACGGGCAATTTGTGAGCCTGAGTCTCAATAGTGACTGCAGGACACAAGGATTGGGGGGCACTTTTAAATGTATTTCTCAAGATAAAGGAAATACAAGTAAAAGTAGAAGAGAGGGAAAGAAGAGAAGGAAAAGAATAGAATAATCTTTTTGTTCTTTGTTTATTTTATGGAGAAGATTAAAGTTTAGCAGTCTTACTGTCCCTCTTGGATGGCTGCAGACAGTCTTATTTTCCTTAGTAGGATGGCTGTTATAAGCGGAACTAACTCTGACGCCTCCAAATCAACAGAAACTGAAATGGGTATTGACACTGATGAATCAGGTCAACCAAAATTTTTTAGATCAAAGATCAAGGCTCTTTAAAGGGAAACCTATGTAGTTTTCAGTTATACTACCAAACAGGAGAATTAGAGATAATAGAAGCAGGAGCTTGCTTTATTTGATCAGGGCTTTTGATTGGAGAGGTGTGAAGAGAAACTGAGAGAGACAGAGAAGAGAAACAAGCAGAAAGATGCTAGCTTGACTTATGAGAAGAGACTTAATAATGATACCAATGACACTGAGTAGTGGGAAAGGTAGGAAAAGTGAGGTCCTTCTGGTTGATAAGTGTTAGCTTGATCTGGGTCTGGTTGTTGGTGTTCTGTGTTGGTCTGGAGTCTGAAAATCCTCTGGAAGCGGAATCAACAAGCTCAGAGAGGATTTTCAAAGTTGGATTATGTAATCTGGCATGTACATGTGGTAGAGGGAGCTGAAACCTAAAGGTTGGAATAATTCTTGGAGTACTGTGAATTATTACAAAGTTAATGAAGGAATGGAGTTGGGTAATAGTGATCAGTGGTGACTAGGGTTAATTTTACACCAGGAATCCATTTCTGAAGTCAGAAAAGTAAAAAGTCTTAAGGTAAAAAAGATAAGATAATGTTTGGAATAGAAATGGGCAGTTTGGCCAGTCTTTTGGCCAGCTTGGCTGGCTCTAAGGCTGAAATTCCCTACCACAAAAAGAGGTTTTGTTTCCAAGAAATAAAACATCAACAGGCTCTCTTCTCACTCCTGAATTTCCTAAGGAGTGAGTTAGTGTCAGGTATGTCTTTTTCAAGGAGCCATTCGTCCTTATCTGCACTCATGTTCTTGTATCTTGCTAAAAACATCCTCACATCTCTGTTGTCCACTCTTATCCTCTTTTCTCCAAGTATGTTAAGGATGAATTTTTTCTTTGGGTTTTCTTCCATGGGGGGAATCACTACTTTGACTTTCTGTCTTAGAGGGAATTTGTCTGGATTGGGGGCATGGTAGGGTTTGACAAGGCTCACTGGAAAGGTAGGATGTTTTCTGCTGAATTCTTCTGTCAGAATGACTTCAACTGCATTCTTTCCATGTAGAGCTTCCACTAGAAAAGGTCCTGCAAATGAATCCCTCATCTTCTTTGGTCCAGATAAGTTATTGAAGTTGGTAGTAGATATGAGTACTTGGTCACCTACTTGGAAAGATGGTTCTTTATGAGTCTTGTCCCATCTTTCTTTGTTGTAAGCAGTTGCTTCAGTAATGCAATGTTCTGCATGGACTCTGGCTTTTTCAAATATCTTAGCGTAAGTGAGGGCTGTGGGATGAATATCTACTGCATCTTTCTTCAGGAAGTTTCTTGGCAGGTTTGGCATCCATCCTTTCTCAAGAATAGCTGGTGCTTTTCCTGTTGTAGAGTGTATGCTAGTGCTATAAGCTAGTTCAAGTATAGGTAATAATGAAACCCAGTCATGGGTGTACCCATCATTGTCTTTGAATTCTAGTCCATAAGCACAAAATCTCCTCACCATGTCTTCCAGGGTTTGTATCATTCTCTCTGCTAGGCCATCAGTTTGCGGGTGGTAAGCGGTAGAAAAGGACAACTTGGTTCCCAACATACTGTGCAGTCCTGTCCAGAATTCTGAAGTGAATTTGGGGTCTCTGTCAGAGATGATTATTCTGGGTATGCCAGTCCTAGGCATGACTCTGTTCCAGAAAAGGACGGCAGTGTCCATAGCAGAATCATCTTTAAAGCAAGGTATAAATATTGGTGATTTAGAATATCTGTCCACTATTACTAAACATGCATTAAAGCTGGCTGCACCTCCTGGGGATAGAGAGGTTATCCAATCCATGTTCACAATGTCCCAAGGCTTTGATGGTTCTTGGATCTTCATAAGCAAACCAAACCTTTTTCCAGTAGCTTTGTTTGCTTTCTGGCACCTGTCACATGACATACAATATTCAGAGGTGTCTTTTTTCCAATTTTGCCACCAGGCTGTGTCTTCCACTTTTTCTAGAGTCCTGTCTTCTGAGAAATGGCCAGAGTATACACTGTCATGGCACTCATGTAGAACTACATTGATGCTATCCTTGTCAGCAAGAACCAAGACTGAGTTGTGTTTTCCCTGTGATATATAAGACCATCAAACAAGGAGAATCTTCCTTCTGCATAGGATGTCTTCCAAGGTTCTTGTAAGGAATTTTTCAGCGCTGAATCTTTGTTATCCTTTGTGAGTATCTGGGATAAGATGACAGTGTTGTTATTCTTCTGATAACCTTCTTTCACAGTCTCAAAGAATTCATCTTTGAAAGAAGAAACGTGTATGCCCATGATAGGGAATCTATCATCATCCTTGTCTTCTGGATCAGAAGCAGCCATTTGGTAAAGCCCATCTGCTTAAACCATCAGCATTCTTGTGTATGTTCCCATCTCTGTGTTCTATTTCCATGTTGGCTCTGTATTCTTGTATTGCAATTTGCCACCTGAGCATATGTCTGTTAGGGGTTTTCATGTTGAGTAAGGATCTCAATGCAGTGCAATCTGTTACAACTTTAAAGGAACTACCATCCAGATAATAGTGCAACTTCTCCACTGCCCACACTAGACACAGGCACTCTAATTGGCTAGCTCCATACCTTGTTTCACTGTCCTTGAGTTGTCTGGAAATGAAAACAATTGGTCCTTCTTTCTTTATTCCATCAATTTTTTGGACTTGATGGAGGGCTGCACCTAGTCCTGTCATACTGGCATCTACATATAAGATGAAGGGGTACTTCCAGTCAGGAAAAAGGAGCAAGGGAGCTGAAGTTAGTTTCTCTCTGAGGAGGTTATAGGCTTCAAGTCTCCTATGGGTCATTTCAAACACAACTTCCATTTTTGTCAGTTCTGTAAGTGGTCTAGCAATGTCTGCAAAGTGCTCAATGTGCTGTCTGTAATATCCAGCAAAACCCAAGAATGATTGGACCTCTTTCTTGCAATTTGGGACTGGTTTTTGCAAAACAGCTGCCACTTTGTTCTGGTCTATTCCTATTGCTATTCCGGACACTACATGACCTAAAGCTTTAATCTGGTTGAAACCAAAATTACATTTTTTCAAGGAGATTTTCATATTCATCTTAATGACAATCTGTAAAATCCTACTGATTCTTATCAAGTGTTCTTCCCAAGTATTTGACACTATGATGATATCATCAATGTAAATGATGACCCACTTTTCGTCTAACTCTCTTCTGAACTCTATGTCCATCATCCTTTGGAAATGAGAGGGGGCATTTTTGATCCCAAAGGGCATTCTCAAATATTCATAGATGCCTTTATGCAGAATAATTCTCAACAAGTGTCTGGAGTCTTCAGCTATCACATTTTGATGGAAACCTTTCAATACATCCATACTAGTCAGGAATTTGGCTCTGGCTAGATTGTTCAAGGTCTCACTGATTTTTGGTATTGGATACCTGTCTGCTGCTGTGTAAGAAGTCAAAGATCTGAAGTCTCCTACCATCCTGGATTTTCCATTGTGCCAGGCTATAATCACGGGAGTAGTGATTTCTACAACTTCATTATGGCCAACTTTCCTTAATACATTCAATCTGACTAACTCTTCTATGTGTTCCTCCAGTGCTTCTCTGCTTTTGGGGCTGGCAGGATAAGGGGCTTTGCGCAGGAAAGGGGGGTAAGGTCTTTCAGTGGTCAAAGTCAAGTGGACTTCATGACCTTTGATGGCACCTAGAGGTTGGTCTGTGTTAGCAAAAGCAAGTTTATTTGAATATAGTACTTCAAACAATTTTTCTTTCTGCTCTTGTGACAGTTGTTCACAGATTTTTGACTCTGACAATTCTTCAGAGACAAATTCTGGA